TTGGATGCCTCGCGAGCTCTCCGATGATCATCGCTTCCAACGTGTGAACGTTGCTTCGTCTCTTCTGGCGCGTAATGCGCGTGAACCATTTTTGAATAGGATTGTCACCGGTGATGAAAAATGGATTCTATATGCGAATATTAAACGCTAAAAACAATGGCTCAGTCCTAGACAAAAACCACTTCCAACCCCAAAACCTGGAGTCCATCCGCAGAAAGTGATGCTTTGGGTTTGGTTGGACATCAAAGGAGTAATTCATTTCAAACTTCTCAATCCACAGCGAACTGTCAATGCAGAGATCTATAGTCAGCAACTGGAATGTTTGAATCAAGCCCTTCATCAGAAACGCCCTTCATTCGTCAATCGGAAAGGTGTTTTCCGCGACAATGCACGTCCACATGTGGCACGTTTGACGCAAGACAAGCTTATGGAGTTGGATTGGGAAGTTCTCCCCCATCCACAATATCCTCCAGATATGGCACCATCATATTACCATCTTTTTCGTTCGCAGCAACACCATCTTAATGGGAGAACGTATGCAAATGTGGAAAATGTTAAAGAGAACATCGACATGTTTTTTGCTTCAAAGCCAAGTGATTTCTTTAATCAGGGCATTAACAACCTGAATGTAAGATGTAAAAGCATCATCGATAAGAATGGACACTATTTCATTTAATAAATGTTTTGTTTTGATATACAAGTTATTCGGGTTTTTTCATCTAAAAAAAGCGATATTAATTTCTTGACGATCTAGTACTTTGCGTGTAATGTTTTTGATAAAAGAAATGAAGACAACATGTAGTACTCAATACTTGTCTTCCTTTATTGAATCATTAATTTTTAACAGAAATACTTTATTAGAAATTCTGATTTCTTATCTGCAAAAGACTTGTAATATTCACCGAAAGCTTGCCAAATTTCATAAAGATACATAATTCGTATCGGATTATCGATGTAATCGTATCACGGCTTCAAGATGTGATAATCGTATCCCTGTTTCGTCACACCTTTAGTTTTTACAGGCTTAGCAACTATGTTTAATAGCGAAAATTTTAAATATAGATAACGTTTTCAGTCTACTATCGTACTGAAACAGGAAATTACAGTCAGAGTTTACTATTAACTCGGCAGGTTAACAGTGCTTTATCAGCAAGTGTAAATGTCTGAAGAAAAACCGCTTCGAGTTGTCAGTCCTATCGAATACGTTAAACCTCGGAGTTCAGACATTTTCATTTTACTCTTATTGCTAGTTGTTGTTGTTTTTGTTTGTTTTAGAAAGCTATGTTAATTAACAATCATTTTATAAAACCAAAAATTATTATTAAATATTTTCAGTTTTCCAGCACATTTATAGGTAAAACACAACAACAACTCGCGCACGATATATAAACAATTGAATAATGAATGTAAATATGCATTTTCAGTCTTCTCTCAATATTACGTCATTACAGAACCTTCAATCTTTCTACAAGATGGAGATTCGTGGTCACGAAAGAATGATTTAGGAATGGATATCGGCTGAAATGTACTGTAATTATTTTATGTCACGTACCACTGCCTAATCATCTGTATGATAGATAAAGAGAATTATAACTATAATTGAGATATTCAAAAGTCAGTCGACACTCTGAAATGTTGGGAAGATAATACTTTGTTAAAAACATGAGCTGAAACAATAAAATATAATATTATTAAAAACAATTTAAAGTAATAATTATATTACTGAGAATGAACAATATACACGATGTTTGGGGTACATTGTGAGCCAAATTTGGCTAAGAGCACTATCACCTTGGGCTAGCTGCTCTTTCCACCGTGGGGGAATCGAACCCCGGATTTTAGTGTTATAAATCCGTAAGTTTACCTCTGTCCTACCAGGAAATAAACAAGTAAAAGATCGAAACTTCATCCACTGAAAAAAAAAGAGGGCAGCGAAACAATTATTTAAATCGCATAACCTTATATTAGAAATATTAATGATACTTTTCTTGACAAGCAGATAATAGCATACGTTATTTTTTGAAAGATATCTATAATATTTTCATTATTAATAATGTATTTTTTGCATCTGTTTTGTGTAAGTTTAACTACTAAGTTATCTAGTGGGACAAATTATAAATAAAACTACCTTCGTATTTATGTTGGTTATCAGCGAAAATGATTATCTGTTTTAAGCCGCGGTGGGTTATCTGCTGTGTCCACCATAGGGAATTGAACCCCGGATTTTAGCGTTGTAAGTAAGTAGAGTTATCGTTGTCCCACCAGGGGACCAGCAAAAGTGCATGCGAACAACTAAGTCTTTCATTGGTACTTAAAAATTTTAACAAATGTATATACTTGAAGCTGAAAATAGTGTTTTCGTGTTAATAATCTTGTGAT